GAGAGAGAATGGTCCACGGGCGCAGCCATGCTGGGTGAAAGGTCACGAAGAAGGCTCCACCCCGCAATCGCGCGCGAGCCGCTGGGCCAGGGGGCGTGGCCCGAGAGAAGCCTCTGCTAGGCAGATCCGGCAGGGTGGCGGCCACGCCATAGTCTCGCCCTCTGAACCACGTGACTACGACGCGTCCCTGGAGGCGCTCTGGCACGCCAAGGCCACGTGACCCGCCGCCATATTGACAGAGGCGCGATTTGTGCGTGTCTTTAGCGTTGTGGGTCTGTGTTGGCTGGGGGCCACCTAGGGAGCGTGTAGTCGCCGGAGTGGGCGGCTACACGCTTGCGGAAGGGCGGCCTTTGGGAGGCACCGTGGCGTGAGAGTCTTGCCGCTGCCAGCGGGCATCGTACACGCAGTGGCATTGAGGCAGTGCTACTTGGCTTAACTACGAAATATAGTTACAGGCCATCCTACTTTGCTACTTGTCTTTTAAGTCTCTCATTTTCAGATTGACGGCAATAACAGTAGCTACGTCGTTATTTTGATGATTCAGTAATTATGGGAAACCAGGTACTGCGGTTTCAGCCCCTTCGCGGAGCTTTCGCTCACGCTGGGAGTGGGGGTGTATAGTAAATGAATAAATGCTTGATAGACAGCAGAGTTTACTGTTATCAGCCAATAAAGCAATGTGAAATGGTATGGGAGCCTTCAAGGACCTTGAGCGCAATGCCGAAAAATGGGCAGGGGTTGGAAGAAGAGACTAGAAATGGGCAGATCAGTTAGGGCAGGGCACTAACTCGGCGTTTCCGACAGTCGGATGCTCATAAATCAAATTCTTGTTAAAAATACAGTTCTAGGCTCGGATCCAACCTCGAATCAATCTCCAGGGGCATGGCTGGGAACCTGCATTTTAAGAAGCTTCCAGATTCTTATATCAACAGCTTGGGAAGATTCTACTCATTCAAAGGAGAGTTAATGAGGGCAAATGAGCTCAAGGGAGGAAGTACTTTATAGGCAGCAACTAATTGGAAGGAAGTGAAAGACTTAAGATCTTTGTATTTTTAAAGTTATGAAGAAAATTCTGAATTCTTAAAGAGACATGGCAGCTATGGCATGTGATGACTAAACTCTGATCTTTTTCTTTTGCCAAATCATTTTTAAGGGGGCCTGGTGAGTCACACCTACAAATGGTAAATCTCAGTAAAACTGATTCAGATACACCATCACCTGAAAGTTCAGAGGACCCTTATTTTAACTCAAGCATTGCTTTCTGCTGATGCCTGCCTGGTCTTTTGGACAAAACCTAACTCTTTCAGCCAGTTGTCAACTAAAGAATCCCTAAATCCACATGTGACTTGTAAACCCTGCTTTGAGATGTCCTGCCTTTTGGGGCCAAACAAATGTAAGCATCATTATTGATTTATGATTTTTACCTGTAATCCTTGTCTCCCTGAAATGTATAAAAACCAAACTCTAACCCAGCCACAGCGAATCCACTTGCTCAAGGCTTCGGTGTCTCAGGGCCATGGTTCTCAATTTGGCTCAGAATAAACCTATTTAAATTATTTTAGAGTTTGGCTTCTTTTCTGTTGCACAAGTGGGGCTCTGGAGACAAGCAGCCCTGACTCGGACTGCTGACTTTGCCATTTCCTAGCCCCTAGCTAACGTTTAACCTTAGTTGTAAAATGAGGTTTTAAAAAGGTATTCAAAGAGATGACATGTAAAGTACCTAACAGGATGCCACACATGTAGCAGGCAATCAATGTCAGGTCTCAGTACCTCAATTCAAACAAAGCAATCCACCAGAGGGAAATATCTGAATTTACCTGCATAAATTCATTTACAAATAACCTCCTTGGATTTATTTCCATAATAATGAAAAGAGGGTTCAATACACATGTTAATCCTTCTGCCTAGAGTTTCTATCCATCCTTTAAAATGTCCTCATCCTTTAAAATGTCCTCATCCTTTAAGGCCAGCTCTGAATTTGCTTTCCAACTTAATGCATGCCTCGTATAGACTCAGAACATGTATGCTTACTTTTGGGATAACACTTATTTAGTTGAACTATAATCTGCCTCACTATTATTATTATACTGGGAACTTCTTGGAGACAAAGACCATGTCACATTCATATTTATAGCCCTGGAACACAATGCTTTATACTTAGTTTTAGTTCTTCATTACATTAATCCTTCCTTGTTTTACTTTTCTTATTTTCACTAAAGGCCCAAGTACAGAAAACAAGGTTCACACATGAATACAAGCAAAAATAAAAAAAAAAAAAAAAAAAAAAAACGTTAATTGGCCAACTGAAAATGGAAAAAAAAAAAATAAAGGAATAAAAAAAAAATTGTTTCTATATTTTATGTATTACTCATGACTTAAGAAATCTTCCTGTTTACAAAGAGATAGATTGGCCATTCCCAAATTATTGGATCATAATCTTAAAGCTAAAGGAGACCTTCCTTCATCAACATCTAACCTAAATACCTTGTCTTATAGAAGAAAAAATTGAGGTCCATAGAGGTTAGAAGGACTTGGTCAGAATCAATGGACTAACTTATTAATAGTATCAGAACTGAAACTAGAACTCAGGCTTTCTAAGTCCCAGGCCAGTGTTTTTTCAACCACATGGGCCATTTAAATCCATTAGAGCTTAGCTCTCCTAGAAGAGAATTAGTTCATCTGCCTCAGAAAGTTCTCAAAGTCCAACTGTCCCCAATAGGTTTTATTGCTTAGACAGACTTCTATTAAATACCTTAAATAATAAGCGTTGATGGTGTGGTTTTATTGTCACAACTAGAAATGATCTCAATAGACTATTAGTCTTCCTAATTAGCTATTTTCAGAATGGCCTAAAATAACTCCCCTAAAATTAAAACTTATTTCTTGAGATGGCATCCAGAATTTATTTAGTTCATTGTCAACAATTTTATAAAAGCTTAATCATTTTGTTACATAGAGGTGAATTTTGCAACTTCCAAATGATCATAGGTTTTCCAGAAAGATAATGTTCTTCAAAAATCATGTTACATGGGTACAACATAGAGGTTTTTGTGTGCCTATGGTAAATGGTACTTTCTGCTTTGAAAAATTTCCAGACCAAGCATATTGCTGATTTTTAGGAGACAAAGAATTTAGGGGTTTCCCTTTTTGCACCACTTAAGGCATTTACGGATACAAGTGATAGAAAACTCAACCCAACCTCACCTAAGAAAAATGGTTCACTTAAATAGCCTAAGAGTGTTCTGACATGAGATATAGCTGCATCAGCATACATAACAACATAATCAGAACTCCTTCTGATCATGTCCTACCTTCTACTGACTCAGGTGTAACATGGTAAGATGGCCACATTAGCTCCAGCCACCACATCCAAGCATTAAACCTCTTTCCAAAATTCTCTGGCAAAAGTATCTCTGTCTGGCCATGTATCCATCCCTAAATCAATTGCAAAGGCCAGGGGCTATGATGTACTCATCGGCTTAGGCCTAGGTCACATGTTCCATCCCTAGAGTAGAGTGTGGTCAGCTTCACCAGAACAACATGGACTGAGGATTGGGAACAGAATGGTTCCCCAGAGGGAAATCTGAGGGTGAGATTATCAGAGGATGAATGATTAAATGAATGAAGTAAAAATAACAGATGTCCATTACAACCATCCATGTATCCATGTGCTAGCTAGACTCTTAGCCTCCTAAGAGAAATCTTAACTCCACTTGGGTTGCCTCTATCAAGCCAGACCAGAGAGAACTGCTATCCTTCAAACTCAAAAGAGGTGGTCCTTTGCAGAATTGCTTTACTGAATTGTACTACACTGGGGTTTCCCACTGAGCCTAGGGTGCAGCCCTGTACTTGTTGTGACATATGTAAACCTGTCTGGTTTGTTGGCTTGTGCAGAGATCGTCACGTTCACACACGTATTCACACAAACAAAAGTGTTTGCTTACCTTCAAAGATGTGGGTACAGAGTTGTGGAGAGAATCACTGAGAAAGGCACTCAGCAGCCAGTGGTGCCTCTGTCGCACTGGCCTAAGGGACATGCAATTCTAGGAAGTCAGTCAAATTGGGGAAGGCCTCCTCAGGTCCGCAGAGTGCTTTGCATGTAGGATGAGCATGTGCTTTACTGTTCAAATGGGACTTACGAGAATAAAAGGTGTTAACCAGATGGGATCTGGGGATAAAAGACATAAACTGGAACTTTGCCAGGCAACCTGGGGCATTCATCTACGTGTGTGGCACCAGGAAAGCCTAACCTGACAATGCTTAACTGTGTTCAACACAAGGTATATGTTCCATGCTAACAAACTCATACTTCAGACAACTGCCCTTGTGCAGTTTACGGCCTGGGCACACCCCACAGTATCTGTCATTATCATCAGGACGTTGCTTATCAGAATGCTCCACAGTCCCATTTTTATGAGAAGATCCTAGTAAGAAATTCTTATCTTAGTACCAGGAATCACTATTCTTTCTGTAGCTGAATTAACTTTCATCTTAAGGATATTGTGAATGGTGCATTTCACCAAGTTTCTTTCTGTCTCGGTTACTGGAAAGCTTAGTTAAATGTACAGCCTACACAAAGTATTTGTGTATGTCGTGGCATGCACTTTTAGCCTCATTCCTGACTCCATTTTGTAGCCCGCACCCTTGGATTCCCTTCATGTAACTTTCAATTGACCAAACCTTGTACCTTAGGTTTTCTTGTTAATCATTTTAGGTCCTCTAGGTAACTAAAGATAGACAGACACTCCCCATCTCAACTGCTTACAGAGGTGGGGTGGCCATCTCTTCAGTTGATTCCTTAAGTTTTACAAAAGAATGTCAATCCTACAGTCGGATTGGGTTAACCTTAAAATTGCATGGATTGATCTCTAATTCAGGCAAACCATCAGGGAGAAAAAAATAAAATAAAAGAGACAACTGAATTTGAACAATGAATATTTATTTGATATTGAGAAATTGAGAAATAATAAGAAATTATCAAAGTTATTTAGGTGTGTTAGTGATATTGGGGTTGTTTTCTAAAAGTGAGTTACCTTTAAGAGATATCTCCTGAAATATCTACAGCCAAGTCTGTAATGGCCAAATCAAACAGCAGAAGGATAGAGGAATATAATGCTCTCCCAGGGAGGGGTAACAAATATTTTTAAACCATATGGGCTGCCACACTTGCCCTCCTGTCCCCTGGGAGTGGGCCCAGAAATAAACATTTCCAACAAGCACTGTAGCAGACTCTGCCCTATAGTAACACTCTTGAGCTCAGAAAAACTTGGCTTATTCTGAGAGACAGAGCTATTTTCTTAGGATTCCATGTATCTCTCGCTCTTATTTCTAATTTTTGGCAACACTTTCAGAGCACAATGGTTTTGAGCCTTGCGCCACAAAAAGAGGACTTTGTGCTCAGATAAGTTTCTGCGAGGCCATATACCTGCCTGCTCTGTCACTATGATCGTTACCTCAAAGTCCTGAGTAGTCCTGCAGGAAAGAACCCTGTTTGAATTTATCTGGTCCAGCATTTCCCAAACTAAACACAGAACCGTTACTGTGTAATCCTATTAACAGTTCCGAACATCAAGTTAAAATTTCAAACAGAATTAAAATACACTATCATGGATGAGGGCTTTGTTACCGAGGCTAAGTTTTTGTTTCCCAGTTACCATTGCACTGACTGCCATTTCTCAAGGCACACTCTCCAATGCCTCCATACTCCATGTGTTTAACAGAACTGAACTTAGAATCTGGAAACCTGTGTTTAAATTCTTGTGTCACCATTTATAAGCCATATGCTCTTCAATATGCTACTTCATCTGAGCCATAGTTTCATCTGAAAATTGGAAATAAGAACTGTCTAACCTACGTAGCTCTCTACTACATTATTGTGAGGATCAAAGATGGCACACATGAAGTGACCTAAACCTAGCCAGGTACAGTGGCTCATGCCTGTAATCCCAACACTTTGGGAGGTCAAAGTGGGAGCCTCACTTGAGGCCAGGAGTTTAACACCAGCCTAGGCAACATAGCAAACAAAAAAAAACCCTGTCTCTACAAAACATGTAGAAATTAGCCAGGCGTGGTGGTGCTCCTGTAGTTCGAGCTATTTTGGAGGCTGAGGCAGGAGGATTGCTTGAGCCCAGGAGTTTTAGGTTACTGTAAGCTAAGATTCCACCACTGCACTCTAACATGGGTGACAGAGCAAGACCGTGTCTCTGAAAAATAATAAAGTGACCTATATCTGTAAAATGATTTCGAATAACAATATATTTATTCAAGGCTTAGCTCAGAGTTGTTTACAACCAGATATGGACCAGTTTCCTTACATTTGCTTCATGGCCAGATTACAGCACTAACCCAGCAAATAACCTGGTCATCCTAAGACAGTCCTGGCACATGCATGAGTGCCGAAGCACTCAGGACCGGGTGCATCAGCATTCTAGGTGGCAGACAATGCCCTCCCCTGTTATAAATCTCTTTTTTTTTTCTCTAGCCAAATCAAGAGAAGGAAGAAGCCAGCATTTAACTCTCTTCCTTTTGTCTGTCCATGTGAATGAGACGAAAACAGGATTGCACAGCCTTGATTAGCAGGGTGTAGAAACCAGTTACATTGCCTGCCACTGGATCAGGAATCTAGGATAATTGTCAGTGTCCTCTTTTGCCCCTACTCCAGGATATCAGATTGCTAAGTCACTGTCAAAACACCCATCTGATGAAACGAGGTCCTTGGGGCCACGAGAGCTAATATCAGGGATGAATCCAGGAATGTACGCTAGAGCCTCCTTTGGCAGAGCAGCAGAAAACCAAGATCCAAATGGAAGTAGCTCAGGCTCCTCCTCTGAAAAAAGAACAGCCAGAGCACATGTGAAGGCCTGCTATTTCTGGCCACTTTCCTCACTCAAACTATAGAGGAGCATTAATATTCAAAAAGCTAATGAAGGTATAATGCTAAATCTAGCTTTATATCTCCTAAGTTTTAAGTGGATATATTTTCCCTTTCTTTTACAATCTGGATCATCTACTTCTTCCCCACCCTGACAATGTAAGAATAATTGCATATGTATCTAATAGGTGCATTCATTTGTGACATACTCCTAGATTTAAAGAAAAAAGTGCCAGAGAGAGGGGGAATAAAAGTACCCAAGCAATCATAAGTTGTTTACATTTATTTAATGCTAAGAACACAGATATTCTAAAGACATAAACAAGAAACAGTTTTGTTTTTCTAAACAGGATTTTGATCACAAAAACAGTGGTGATCCAAACCTCTGAAACAGAAGAACACACAAATTAAGAAAAATGCGAAACATATTTCTTACCTGAATTGACCTTAGAACACCCAAACATTCTCTTTAAGAGATATCGATCAGTCAGTCACAGGTCACTCAATGACAGGGATATGTTCTGAGAAATGCATCTTTAAGCAATTTCTTCATTGTATGAACATCATGGAGTGTATTTACACAAACCTAGATGGTATGACATCTTACACACCTGGGTTATATGATATAGCCTATTGCTCCTAGGCTACAGACCTGTATAGCGTATTACTGTACTGAATACTATAGGAAACTGTAACAAAATGGTATTTATGTATCTAAACATAGAAAAATATGGTATTATAATCTTATGGGACCACCGTCGTACATGTGGTCCATGTAATCATTATGTAGTGCATGACTGTATTAAAATCGTGCAAAAAACCTGTACCTGTAGTGTTTAAACCATGAAACCAACACCTGGTTTATACGTGGAAAAATAAAACAAAAGCACATAAAAAGAATGTGTAGCTCATAGAATTCAAAGACAGCCAAGGTGACTACAAGTCAGGTGAAAGAAAGGCAATTAGGGACGTGATATTTTTTAAAGCAGGAAGCTTTGATGATGTCAAGCCTGGCTTCTTATTGATAAGAAGGATAAAGTGCTAGATCTCTGATAGCAAGCAAATTAACTGACGCTCTGTTAAAATTTCCAGAATTAAAGCCAAGGTAGTTTTCGGTAAGGAATGGTCTCCTCGAGAGCATGGCCAGCATGTGGTTGAGCCGGGACCTGATACCAGCAAAGTGAAACTGCCGCTCTTTATTCAGGTTTCTAAATGAGTCTCTCAAGTACAGATCCAAGTGGGGGGTGCCCAGGTACTTGGCATATCCAGGACTGTGGATGTCGGCGGCTCTGAGGGAAGTGTGGGAGCCAGTGGAGCTTGCCACGGAGCCTTGGGAAGACAAAGAGGAGGAAGACTTTAAACTGGAAGATCTCGACACAGACATTTTGGAGACGGGCGACCCTTCTTTCGACTGGGTTCCCTGAGAAAAGAGAATGTTCTCGTCCACATCAGTCTGCGTGGTGGCCGACCTGGACCAAACCACGGTCTGCGAGCTCGCTGCCCTGGTGGAGACCGCGGCTTGGGTGCCGGCACACGCCGTGCTGGCGCTGACCTGTGTTCCCACCTCGTTCATGTGCACCACGGGCATCTCCTCCCCTGGCTCTGTTTGTGTGGCCACGTCGGCAGCCTTTCTGCCCCGCAGCTCATCCCTGTGGCTGGTGAAGTGGTCTTCCTCACTCATGGTGGACGACTCAGAGTCACGGCGCTTGGGCCCTGCCTTGCCCTCCCTGGGCGCCTCTGAGTCCAGGTCACTCTTCTTGGGAGTGCTCGAGAGCCTGGCCAACCGCATCCGCAGCAGGTTGCCCAACGTGGGCTCCTTGGACAGTGGTTTTAGGTCAGCCAGATGGTCGAACTTGTTGCTGATCCGGAAGTTAGACAGGAGTTTGGGGTTGATGGGCTCTGATTGGGCATAGAGGATTCGGAACTCTAGGTCAAAGTGTTCGACCACTTGGCCAGATAGAATCACCAAGTTACTGCTATTTAATTTGCCATCTGTCCATGTAAAACTGAAGGATTAAAAACAAACAGAAGCTGGTAAGAATGAGCAATTTTAGGTTACTTATTGTCAATCTGAATAATATAGCCTAGATATCCTGCCACATAAGATTCACAACTTTAGTGATAGCATACCTACCATAGAGCATGCGTTCAACTAGCCTTAACATATGTATTAACATATATATGTGTTCACACAAAAGTAAAAAGGACAACTGCTTAATCAACACGCTGAAACCTACACAGTCCTCCGCCTCAGAGTTTTTAAAAACTAGAAATATTTCGGCCAACGCCCTCATTTTAGAGGTAAGGAAACCAGCTAGAGATGTCACAGCAGGGAGCTACTGCGGGACCCCAGGTCAGACCCAGTCCGTACAAATTGCTAACGCCCTGCCCCTTGCTACCTCATATACCACTGCCATTTTCACAGACCACCATTGCTCAAGACATGGTCAGAGCTGATTTGTGGCCATTTGCCCTCACCTGTCCAGCAGGAATCCCTTTGCCTTCCTCTGCTAACAGAACTCACACCCCACGCCTACCCAAGAAAGCTTTTATTATTGCATGCTCTCCAATCACAATGGGGCTGCATGTGAGCCAGGTGAGCCAGAGATCCTATTCCGTGGGGTGCTGGGATTCATCCAGGGGGACATGTGACCCCACCAGGGCCAAGTAATTTTTCAGGATTGATAGCAGTACTGAGAGAAAGAGAGTTTCACTCTTTGGGAGACACAGGCCATGTAAGTACGCCAGGATCTCTGCCTTCAAAGGGAGAGCCTGCCTGGGAACGTAGATCAACTAGAGAGAGGCAGAGCCAGGGGACAGTATTCTGATCAAGGTACAGCTCCTAGGTCAAAATGAGCTGAAAAGCAGCTGTACCTTCCTACACTTCCAAGTTCTGTAAGTAGATAAGTTTCATTCTGCATAAAGTAGTTTCAGTTAGCTTTATTACACTTGCAATCACCCCACTGGTACAGAATGTATACCAGAAGTAGGTTTTAAATGAGATCATAAAACATAGCGTCAACTCTGTCTCTTGCCACCAAGAATCTCAGCTAGTGCAAATTCCACCTGAGAACTGCCTTCAAAACCTGAGAAGGAAGATTCTTTTGAAATGAGATAATATAAACAAAGCACCTATCCAACATCAAGGTTATAAATTGTCCTCAACAAATGGAAGCTATCATCGTCATCAATGGCAGCATATATCATTTGCAGAGGGCACTTTTAAAAAAAATTTTAGAACAGCCATAAACCATTTGTAGCTAAGTTTCACTGATACAGATAAATCCTACTTTGTATAAAAAAATATAGTTTCCTCCTATTCCTTTTAAACTTCCTACAAAAGCAAGTCTCAAGAAACAGTTCGAATTTTGTTCTGAGCAATGATGGTGCTGTTTGAAAAGTATCAAGAATTTCTTAATCTTACAGCCTCATCTTCCATGAACTTTTCACATTTCCACCTTTACCCGCGGCTGACATGCAATTATCATTCAGGGACACACATTTCTTCAAAAATGAGTTTTTCTTTTTAAAACTCTACAATCGCACCTCTTACACACTATCAGCCAATTGAATGCAGAAGTAGCAAAGCACACAACCACTGGAGCCACGTAAGTGGCACAACTTGTGGAGATTAGTACCCACCACTCAGTATGCCCACCCTCTATTCAACCTCCCTGCTCTCTACCTTAAGATACCACTGCCAAAGGGAAACTTCAAAGGTGGGGTCAGAAACATGATCAGTATTTTCTAGACTAAAGCTCTGAATTACAGGCTAGAAGCTAAGTAAATGACTTAAGTCTGCAGGTGACAGCTTTGGCTCTGCCTTCAACACTGATACTGAAGCCTGCAATTGCCCTTACTGTCAAGTGAGCAGGGCAAGTGGGATCCCTCCAGAACAAGGACTCGAGATTGTGTGTCACCATTAACCCCCAATTCATCCACCTGGGCCAGGGCTTAAATCTAGGACTTGTTGACTGTGTGACCTTGAGGCAGGTTTAACTTCTACATTTTAATCTTATGGACCATGGGACAGGCGAGGTGACCTCCACCTTGATTACCTCCAACAGAAGAAGGCTTTGATTAACCAACACATACATACACACACACACACACACACACACACACACACACACACACGCACGCACATATATACACACTTGCATGTATCAGAATGTCTGGCCATAAAAGCTCTCATTGAGAGGAAAATGAAACTTTTACATTTATATGACACGTTTCTTCCAAAGAGTTTAGATTAATAAGCAATGAACATGTTAGAAAGTTACCTGTAGGAGCCTGTTGCCACGCGAATGCCATCAATCAACGTGAACTTTTCATGAACCTTCCCAACAATTTTCGTTCCTGATCTTGCATAGTAGATATTTCCCGTAATAGTACGAACTGTCATCAGCTGTTGGCAGGGGAGTGGGAGAAAAAGAAACGAACAATTCAGCAACGCTCATCTGGTGAGCAAATGATGAAGACAAGAGGGCTTAGTTTACACTTCCCTGACAAATTTATTGGCAGATCCATGGCTTAGGGTCACCATTTAGTGGCATCGCACGTGATATGCTAGCCAGATAGTTCTCAGGACTCCAGTAATGTCACTCCTACACTCGGCCCATCTTCTCATATGTCCTTTTCCTATATTTATTTGTGAGAGCCTCAGTTCATGTGTACATTTGCTCTAAAAGATTTATTTACCTTTTTGGGATACTAAACAACAGAATCCAAGCAATGATTCTGAAGCAAAATGTAGAAGATAAAATCATCAAAGAAAATATCCTAGATAACATTTTAGCAAAGGCTGAAGGAAACTAAGCTGATCTTTCTCCTACTCTTTAGTTTATGGCATCACATCAGAATAACAGTACAGCCTCTCATCCCCCTACCCTATAATGGGTATGGAGAAGAGAACACAGGACAAGCCTTCTCTAACGTAGGATGCTGAGGCTTAATCCACAATGTCACATCTACAAGTACCTAATTACCAAATTGGAACACTGGTACTACATGGGGCCCTATACTGCACATGTATATGCATAATATCCTGTCAAATGACACACGTAAATGTATACACAATGGTATGCAAAAGACTAAGACAATCTGCATTCTCTGGAGCTCTATATGGTTAGAAATCCTATACATTCAAATAAAATGTTTAAGATGTTTGGTTCTTTCATTCATTCCACAAACCTGGAGTCCCTACACTGTGCCAAGCTGTGAGACAACAGAGATAGAAGGCATGCTCCTTACCTTCAAGGACTAGAATAGGAGAGAGAAAACTAACTGAATAATTAAAAAGTCATAGTAAGACATACCAGAGCAATGAACACCTATGTCCACACCAAGACCTCACCACAAAGGTTCATGGCAACTTTATTCACAATAGACAAAAACTGGAAACTTGGCCGGGCGCAGTGGCTCACGCCTGTAATCCTAGCACTCTGGGAGGCCGAGGCGGGCGGATTGCTCAAGGTCAGGAGTTCAAAACCAACCTGAGCGAGACCCCGTCTCTACCATAAAAATAGAAAGAAATTAATTGGCCAACTAATATATATATATATATATAAAAATCAGCCGGGCATGGTGGCTTGTGCCTGTAGTCCCAGCTACTCGGGAGGCTGAGGCAGGAGGATCACTTGAGCCCAGGAGTTTGAGGTTGCTGTGAGCTAGGCTGACGCCACGGCACTCACTCTAGCCTAGGCAAGAAAGCGAGACTCTGTCTCAAAAAAAAAACAAAAAAAAAAACTGGAAACTATCCCAAAGTCCTTCGTGGGTGAATGGTTAAACTGTGGCACAACCATATCATATGATAGTACCCAAAAGTAAAAAGGAACCAACTACGGACACACACTACAACTTGGGTGGATTTCAAAGGCATTGTGATGTGGGAAAAGCCAGTCTCAAAAGATCATATACTATACAATTCCATTTATCCAATAGACTCTAAATGACAAAATTATAGAAATAGAGAACAAATTAGTGGTTAAAGATGGTGGCAGTGAGGCACAGAGGGGACAGTGACGGGGCCGTAAAGGAATTATGGTGACAGACTAGTTCTGTGTCTTGATGTACATGATATGATGAGAAAATGGCACAGAACTACACACACACAGTGTACCAGTGTCAATTTCTAGGTTTTCTGGGTTTTTTTCTTTCCTTTTTTTTTTTTTGCGACAGAATCTTACTCTGTTGCTCCAGCTAGAGTGCAGTGGTGCCATCATAGCTCGCTGCAACCTCAAATTCCTGGGCTCAAATGATCCTCCAGCTTCAGCCTCCTGAGTAGGTGAGACTATAGGCACACACCATCACGGCCAGCTAATTTTTCTATTTTTTGTAGAGACAGGATTTCACTCTTGCTCAAGCCAGTCTTGAACCCCAGGCCTCAAGCAATCCTCCCGCCCTGGCCTCCCAGAGTCCTAGGATTACATGCGTGAGCCACCGCACCCAGTCAAATACCAGGTTTTGATAGTGTCCTATGAAGTTGCATAAGATGTAACCACTGGGGAAACTGAGTAAAGGGTACATGAATGAAACTTGTCTATACTATCTCTGCAAGTTCTGTGAACTATCATTATTCAAAATAAGTTAAAAACAAAAGACAAAACAAAAAGTATGGCAAGATATAATACTGCTTCTGTAGTATTCTTATCAAAACGCATAACCCTGAATTTAACCTTGAGGAAAGAAATTCTACAAATAACTGGCTAGCATTCTTCAAAAGTGTCAAGACCCAGCTGGGCATGGTGGCACACACCTATAATCTCAGCTACACAGGAGGCTGAGGTGGGAGGATCACTTGAGCTCAGGAGTTCAAGATCAGCCTGGGCAATATAGAAAGACCCCCATCTCTTAAAAAAAAGAAAAAAAGGCATCAAGTCCCCAAAAAACAAAGAAAGATGGAGGAAAAGTTCCAGATTAAAAGAAGCTAAGGAAACTTGACAGCTAAACGCAAGGTGTGGTTCCGGATCAGACCTTGGACCAGAAAAGGGGCATTAATGGAACAACTGGTGAAATTTATAAGGTCTACAGATTAGATAGTATTATATCAAACTTATTTTCCTGATTTTGTTACTTGTGACTGAGGTTTGTAAGATGTTAACATGTAGAAAACTTGGGCAAAGAGTATTTAGGAATTCCTTATAATATTTTTTAACTCCTTTATAAATCTTAAATTATTTCAAAATGAAAACTTAAAAACAAACTAGGACATTTCATAGAGGTACAAATGGAATTGGCAGGAGGAGAGCTTCCTAGAGGAAGTGACGGCTCCTAAGCTGAGCCTTAAAGGATCAACATAGAATAAAAAGCATAAAAAATACCATATGGGCAGATTTAGGTGTGGTTTTGTGTATCTTTCCCTTTGGCACATATCCAAATGTTGTGCACACTCTGTGACTGTGGCCAAAGCATGTCTGAGCACCTGCACACGCATGTGTGACCAAGTTCCTGCAGGTAGGACAACCCAACGTTCTGAACCAGCTGCAAAGTAAGGGCACGTTCGGGAAAGCCAGCCCCCAAACGGCAAGAGTAGACACACCCAGGCTAAAGCAGCAACCCGTAAAGACAGTGCTTATCTATGAAAAAGGTAAGACACTACGAAATTGAGGAAAGAATATACAACTATTATATACCCATAATAACTTAAAATTTTTTAATAATTTGGGAGGCCAGAAGTATAGACCTTCTTTAAACCCTATTGCAGAGGATTTGGACACTCATTAAGGTAGCAGCCAACACTGGGCAACTGAATTAGGAAATAGACCTAGATTTCTGCCTAGTAGATGAATCAGAGCCAATCACTTCATCAAAGTTGCAGTCAGAACTATTCTGATTTTTCTCCTGCTAGCACACATCCTTAATTATAGAAAGAGCACCTTGAAATTAAACACTGACACCACCTTCAATTTCTTCACCTGGCTCTGTATAAGAATAGTCATGGCTGGACATTTGGTTAGATGATAATGCTCTTTTCTATGCCAACATGTATTTTCCTTCGGTTTGCCTGACTTCATTCTTTAATTTACTGTTGGGTTACACAGCTGTCTGGTTTTATTCAGTCTCTAAGCCCCAATCCTACCTCCATCATGAATTTGCTTTGTGACATCAGTGACAGGTAACTACCTAGGTTAAACCCAATCCTCCATTCTCTCTCATAGAGGAAACAGCCAACGAGAACTCTGCGGGAGAATTTAAATAGCCAAAATTTTGCAAACCAAACTGCTTGATAATAACAAGATGGCAAATTAGAGTAACCTAAAGCAACAAAGCCCAAACTCTTTGTTCATTTTGCTGACTGCTTTATTTCTGGTACCTAAAACAGCACATGGCACATAGTAGGTGTTCAAACAGATAATGAACAAATTAAGTTCCAAAGCTCATGGGTTAAATTGCTTAATTTAAAGACATAAGTTCTGTAATAAACATGACCATTTTCTTGCTTCTTTCCACTAAAGAAATCTAGGTAGCTGAGTTGTGTAACCTTACATTTCAACACTTAAACTATTTCCATGATTGGAGACATGGACATAGAGTCTAATTTTATAATGAGAGATGAGCAGCAGCACATGCCAGTCATTATGAACATGGGCTGGAGGCAGGCAATGAAGGCAAAGGCCTGCTACTTGTAGCTGTGGACACTTGGGCTCTCTGTGTCACCAGCTCTTGATCTGAAACACAGGGATCATGCCACTTACCTGATAGGACTGCAGCGAGGATTAAGTTACGTACCATCAAGAGAATAGAGTGATACCAAAGACAGAGTAGGAGATCAATAAATGCTGGTCGCCATGATTAAAAGTGGAGCCCCCTGGAGCTACTCTCAAAAGTAGCAGCTTCCAGGGCAGCTTCCAGGCCCTGGACAGGAGAGCTAGGCCAGGCTTTGTTAGGAGGCAACACAGTACAGGGGAGATGCCGAGGTATTGAATCCTGTCTTTTCTTTTCAACAGTTTAATTGAGATATAATTCACACATCATACAATTCACTATTTAAAGTGCACAATTCTATGGGGTTTTAGTTTATTCATAGATATATGTAACCATCATCATAAGTCAATTTTAGAACATTCTCATCACCTTAAAAAAAAGTCTGCACTTTTTAGAAATCACCCCATCCTTCCTACCAACCCCAGCCCTAAGGCGTCTACTTAGGACTAATCTACTGTCTCTATAGATTTCCCAGCTCTGGACTTAATGGAATCACATAACCTGTGGCCTTTGTGCTTGACTCCCTTTACTCAGCACAATGTTTGCAGGTTCATCCATGTCGTAGCATGTTTCAGTACCTCATTCCTTTTCATGGCTGAATAATATCCTATTGTATGAACAGACAACATATTATTTATCCATTTATCAGTTGATGGATATTGGACTGTTTCTACCCTTTGGCTATTAGGCATAAGCCTACTATAAACATTCATACACAAGTTTTTGTGTGAACATATGTCTTCACTTGTCTTAGGTAGATACCTAAGAGTGGAACTGCCAGGTCACATGTATCGTTCATTTCCTGTGAGACTTTAGGCAAGGGACTTTGCTCACTTGTCAACAGGGAAACCACCACCAAGTGCCTAGCAGATCATGGATGCTCAGTTACATTTGTTGATTGTGGTGAAGATGGAAACAGTGTACCACAAACCTTTTCCTGCTCCGGATGAACTTTCAGATCCATGCACATATCCAGAAATTGAGAGAGGAGAGCCTGGTCCAGAAGGATATACACGGCAACTCCCTGTTTCCTGCATATCTCCTGCAGGTCTCTGAAGATGTCGATGTCTGTGAAGACGTCCATTACCACTGCAATCACCTGTGGGGTAAGGCAGAGGGAAGAGCAAGCTGTCAGCTCACAAGAACACACAGCCTTACAGCTCGTTGTCTGACCCCTGGAGCCCATCTCGAGCTGGGAAAGGACCCCACCCTACAGTGATCCTTCCTTCCTTCACCTCCTGCAGTGTCAGTTTTCCCCTCGCCATGGACTCTTTCCATCTCCAAAGACACTCAGGCCCTGTATCCTACAAACCTTGACTTGGCCCAGCTAACACTCCCTACTGCCATCCAGCCACTCTCCTCCACGCTGGAAAAGTTCCCAGAGATACAGATTAATCCCCTGCCTTGCCCTCCCACGAACCTGCTCCATTCAACTTCTGCTCCTTCACTAAAACCCCTGTGTCTCACAGCCTTGGTTCAGACCAACAGGCTGCCCGGATGCTGTGGCTCACACACCATCATCTTAGGCATGTTGCTTTCTCCACCAGGCTTTAGTTTCCTGTCAATAAAACCTTAGGTTCTCTCTGCATTCCTTTCTGGGGGTAGCATCTTCAAAATCTATGATTTGAATTATTGTCTGACTATGGATCACAACCTCTGACTCTCTTAGTATGATCTAGAAAGGCACATCCCATATGCCCCCAACTGATGGCTTAAAAGCAATCAAACTAGGCATGCCAATTCTCCCACCTTTTGTCCCCCTAGTGCTGCACACGACTCAGCATCCCACTCCCTCCGCCAGCCAGGCCGTTCCTGCCATCTGCTACATGGGCTCTAACCAAACAGCTTCCACAGCACCAGCCTCTCCTCTCTGCAGTTCTTTGGTATCCATCCACAGCGCAAGCCCACAACAAGAACAGGGGGACATTTCTTTCCTAAGGATTCTGCCCTCAAGCTCAGACCAGTCCCCTCTTCCCCCCAGCATGGCTCCTTTCATGCCTCCCAGTTGATGTGCCACACCCAGCATCAGACTACAGCTAAGAGCCACCTCTTAACCATGTGTGCTTGGGCAAATTACAGCTGTTTCAACTGTCTGTTTCGCTAGCTGCAAACTAGGGTGGTATAGAGAACTAAATGACTATCTCACATAAAGTGCAAGACATGAAAGATCCCTTATATCTGCTCATTTATCCCCTCTGCCAGTCCAGTGCAGGGCTGCCCAGACAAGCCACCACAGGGAGACACCTCCCAGCCTTCCTTGCTCTTTAAAGGGAGGCTGCTCTGGCCACAAAGCCTCTAATCACACCCTTTGCAGGCTTAAAACTGCGGTCTTCAGCTAACTCGTGGTGGGGGTGATTTCAAAACATCCAGGCTTAGAAACAAGTCCCTACAAACCACACTGGAGGTTGGGGGTGTTAGCTTAGGAAGCCAAGGTTCCGGAGCTCTTTTGCAGTCTGGAGCTGTAGGGCCTTCTCCTCGCTCCCACTGCAACGGTAAAATCCTGTGTCTGTCAGCATCACACCAGCGCTTCTTCTGCATGTAAGATTGTCCCTTATAGGTTTCGCCCTTCCACTGGAGCAGAGGCCCTTGAATGGGACTGATTCATTTCTGTGGACTCAGAGGACGGGAGACCTGACAATCATTAGCCCTTAAGGATTTGGGGATTAAAGAAGAAATGCAAAGGCAAAGAGGCAATTTTGCTATCTTTCTCCTGCACTCCAGGCCCAGGAGTCTCATCGGGACTCTGAAACACCGTTCTGGGCAGTCATTGCTGTGCGCAGTCAGAGACCAGCCATCCCTCTGCCTGCCTTCCCATCCCCTCCTCAATCCTGATGATGCCCCAGCTGTGAGCTGCTCTTGGCAAGGGCTAAAGCCCACCAGACAGAGGGATTTTAAAAATAGTGTTCTTTCTGAACTGGTGGCATCTTCAGAAACTTACATATTCTTCAGTGGCCTTTACAATGTCCTATTTTGAGAACTGGATCTATTCCATTCACTCAGGTTACATAACACAGTTGTTAAAAGGCAGAAAGGCCTGGGTATAGAACCCCACTCTGCCACTTACTAGCTGTGTGACCCTGGGCAAGTTGCTTAATCTTTCTGAGCCAGTTTCCTCCTCTGGAAGATATGCATGATGGTACTAGGTCACAGGGCTATTGTGAGGATTAACTGAGACAAAGCACAAAAGGGGCTTGGCCTGGGGCAAGGCATGGAACAGGTGCTCAGGTATGCAGCCAGCACCCCTTCGCAGTCTGCTATGGGCTGTGCACTGTACTAGATGATGAAGAATTTTTCACAGACCTGATTCACCCTCTAGGAGGGGACACAGGATACAGGGAAGCAAAATTATACCCTCCGTAAGAGGCAATTAAATCAGGGGTACACCTTGGGGGAAGGCAGGAAATCATTTCCCTTGCAGTGATGGACGCGCTCTGGCAGGAGGCCACGTGACGACAGAGGAAGGGGTAGGGACGGACGGGGTAGGGACGGACGGGGTAGGGACCCGTTTGGCTGGAACGTGCAGTATGCATGAAAGGGAGCCACAGGACGTGACTGGGGAAGGTGGATGAATGAGCAAGATCACAGAATGCCTTGAATGTCAATCAAGGAATCAATAGTAAACCTCCTTCCTCACATTGCCTGGATAAGAGCAAAGAGTTCCAAGTGATAATCCAACAGGACAGAAGAAACGGATGCTGGAAGCGCTTGGGGGAGGTCTGGGACGTGGCCCCCAGCTTCTCCAACACGGGCCCCACAGCGCAGCGGGCGGTGGATGCTCCTTAGGTTAACCAACGGCAGCAGGAGGACTAGAGACAGAAGAAGAATCAGACATGCAGGTTTCCATGACAGGCCCGGCAAGAAGGCATGAGGGTTGCAGAGGGAAAGAGGCCGTGGGAGAGCCCAGAGGACAGGAGACGGAGGCTCAGGTCCACAGAAAAAGAAACAAGCTTCAGAGAGAGGCTTCAAAACTGATTTCGAGGTAGTGGTGAAACCTTCACAAGGAGGATCTGAATACGCAGGTGTGAGAATGAGCAGAGCTCACAAGCAAAGCTAGACAGGAAAACATAGACACACCTTCCTGCCTCTCCAACTCCCCATTCTTCCAAACATTCGGTGTGAGCCGGATTGAGCCAGGCACATCTTGGGCACTGAGGGCCAATTCTGTCCCTGAGAACCCAGTCTAATGAGCAGGAGATGAGCCAGGGATAACACAGTGTGACAGGCCAACTCGCACACCCCCAGGTGCTACTGGAGCGGAGACCAGAGAAGCCCTGCCCAGCTGGCCCGGTTACAGAGCTGCTGGGGACAGGGACCTGGGCCCATAGCACAAGGCACCTGCCAAACTGAATTTTGATTCACCACTTAACAAAACAATTATATAGCAACACCTTTGTTATATGGTGAGTCAATACCTCATTTGCTATTCCTTTCACTGTTTGATTTTAAAGCCTCAACCTTTCCTGTGTGTTGGATTTGAAGACTGGTCCCTCACACCCTCATGGTGTTCAGAGGCTTGATGGAGGCTTTTTCTTCCCCTGACACCCCTGATACCCAACATCCCCTCCTTCCTTACTAAAGTGGGATTCTCAAAAGCTTTTGTCTTTTGGGCCAGGCACAGTGGCTCATGCCTGTAATCCTAGCACTCTGGGAGGCTAAGGTAGGAGGATCACTTGAGGTTAGGAGCTTGAGACCAGCCTGAGCAAGAACAAGACCCCATCTCCACTAAAAATAGAAAAATTAGCCAGACCTGTTGTCCCAGCTGCTCAGGAGGCTGAGGGAAGAGGATCGCTTTGAGCCCAGGAGTTTGAAATTTCAGTGAGCTATAATGATGCCACTGCACTCTAGCCAGCAACAGAGCTCAGCTCTGTCGCAAAAAAGAAAAGAAAAGAAAAGAAAAGAAAAGAAAAGAAAAGAAAAGAAAAGAAAAGAAAAGAAAAGAAAAGAAAAGAAAAGAAAAGAAAAGAAAAGTCTTTGTCTTTTAAGGAGGAGCAGTCCTACTAGTGGAAGCAATTGGCCTTCCTTCAAAACCTCATTCCACTCCCCTATTTCTCCCCTTTCAGCCTTCGTGGGCCCAGGCCCTGCACAGCTGAACTAGATCCAGGGCTGGACTGGACAGTCTCTTCACGGAGCTGAGCAACTCGCTGGACTCATCCACAAGCCAGCCAGGCCCTGCTCTCCAAGGCAGGACACAGCTCCTAGGTGTCATGCTGCAAACTGCTGGGCCCAGAAGAACACCTGAACTTGAAAGATGGTGTAGACATCGGTCACTGTTCCCACTCCCTAAGGCAAGATGTAGGGCAGACAAGGGTAAGACATGTCTGGAAGGCAGAAAGCCCGTGCCCATCAGTGCCCGCGGTCATAATGGGCACTGCCCTCTCCTACTTAGCCTGTGCTGCCCAGAGCCCACCCACTCTCTCATAGCTGGAAAGCTGTGCCCGTGGTGACTTTTCAGAGTCCCTGCTAGGGTCAACACCCATCTGCAACTCAGTGCAAATCCGTCACGGCATGAGACTTTGGAGGAAGCATCCAGCTGGTCAGAAGCCTGCTAGCTGGCCCACTACCCTGCACTTCTCCAGCCTCATCTGGAGCAGCCTCTCCCATGTCACGTCTCACGTCATCATCTTGGGTGACAAATCACAAGCCTACCCCTCTCAGTCCAACTATCCCCTGCTGTACCAAGGGACTCAGGGACCCAGGAAGTTGAAGAGCAGAGATCACTGTGGTATTCTAGGTCTTTGGGAAGGTCACAGACATCACCTGTCACGTAAAACTGGAATCTCTTCCACTTGCCTCCTTGCACAAAAGCTCTTAAGAGATATCTATCTAGAGATTTTAAAACCCCATTAACTGTTATCCCCAATTTATAGATGAGAAAACTAAAGCCTGGAGAGGTTAGGTAACTTGTTCAAAGTGGCACACTTAAGCAAATGCAGGTGCTGGAATTTCAACCCAGGTCTATGTGACTCTAGAGCCATCTATAAGAAAAGTACTAGACTAAATATTATTCCAAACTAGTATCATGTGATTGGGAGCTTCGCACAGATCCTAAGAGGATCAGCAGAGAATCTCATAAAGTACACAGGCTCCAGCCCACCAGGG